CCCCTGCTGCTCAAAGAATTGTTGAAATGGGGGGTATGCGGGGATTCCGCCCCATACATGCGTGCGGCGTGAACGCAGCAGCTCCTGCTGTACCGCTACTAGAAACATGTACAGACCTACACACACAGCGACAGTTACACACAGCTCTGAGAGATACAATAGTGTGCACCAATCAGCAGCGGTAGCTGTGAATGTGTGTTCGATGAGGGTCATGTGTACATACAGCAGTTGGTGGCGTGATTGTCTCCTCTGCTCTGCTTTCTGTATGGTCATGACAGTCTCCCTTGTATGGTGGGTCATAGCAACACCAGTCTGTTGGATGCTGGGTCACACCACCCGCGTAGTTTGCCTGGTCCATCGCACGCGTAGTTTGCTTCATGATGCAAGGCACACGTGGGGTAGCCCCCCCTCCCAGACATCCCCCCCCCCCCGCGTGGTTCGCTTGGTTGACACGCTTGGTTTCCTTGGCCCACCGTACGCGTACTTTACTTGGTCCAACACACGTGCCGCGAACCAATCACCTTGGACCACTGCAGCTGCGTATGGGCGGGAGCGGTGCCTATTGACCGAACCAGATCACCCGACTCTCTCGCCGACCCGGCCATCTATTCCCCGGCACTCCCGTTTCTTTCTTTGTGAAATAGGTACTCTGCGTGGATGCTGGCCACTTGAAGGGCGACTGGAACGGTATGATGGTCGCGACGGGCACGGACGCCGGCACCAAGCTGGTGCACGTTGCGGCCAGCATCTGCGACAAGGAGAACACCGACAACTACTCGTGGTTCCACAGGATGATGGAGAACAACGTCGACATGGCGGAGGTACTCAACAGCCCGAAGACCACCCTCTTCACGGACAAGCACAAGTCGCACGAACCTGCCATCACCCTTCACGCGCCCAACACTGTGTGGAGGTGGTGCCTTCGTCATCACATCAAAGCACTTCCCGAGGCCCCTGGACAGGTGAGAGGAGTTGTGACCCTGTGCCTCTGTTGGTGTAGGCACTTCGCACACAAGTGTAAAAGTGTATTCACCTGTACAACATACGACTCACACCCTTCTCTTTGTATTCGAAAGATGGAAGTACACACAAAGTGCAGGTTCCTCTGTCCTGTCTCTCGTCACAACCGAAGAGCCTGTCTGTCTTTGTCCCCCTGAATTCTTGCAACACCAAAAGCCCACCCACGACCGACGTTTTTCGGGGTTCGCCTCGTATGTACCGCTCGGGCGGGTGTGCACGTTTATCTCCTGTGCATTTCAGCTGCAGTACATTGCTCGCCCCTTGCGGCTGCCTCTCGCCCGGGAAAGGACTACAACCTACCAACCCGACGTGCCTTTTTGTGTGTTTTCACCATGTATTAATTGCATCGACCGCACCAACCGGCTGACAAGATAGACGTCAGTCACAGAGCGTGTGTGTTCGTGCCGTTCCTCTCTCCCGGTAGCAAACAGCCTTAGGATGGGTTACACCCTCAAGCCTCTCCCCCTCATGACCACTTCGCAACCTTTGTATCCAAAACTGTATGTACGGCAGCAGCAGCAAAGTTAAGAGTTGATGAAACGATGCCTCTCTGTTTCGTGGGGCTGGGCGATCGTCGAAAATGATTTCCAAAGTACGGTGCTATCTCATACTGAGCATAGAGAGCAATTGCGATGGCACGGGGGAAATCCATAAATCTTGGGCACGAGTTTTGGAGGGTTTGGTTGACATTCGCGTGCAGATTCCTCTGCTTAAAACCGGTGGGTGCGTGTGTTGTCAGACGAAAACCTTGGGTTGAAAAGGGGTACGAATGTGTACCACAACTTTTCATTGAGATGTGCCGAAGTCACGTGTAGCTGCTGTGCCAAGCATGCAACAGTGCACTTTGTAGTTGGAGTCTTGTAGTTGTATCCAATCTAAGCTTGTGTATCCTATTTGTGTTGAATGTGTAAGTGTTTTGACCTGATGTTGGGCATTACTTTGTGTTGGTTTCCACTCTTCCCAAAGTTGCAACACCCATACCGTATATTTCCTGCGACGATCTAGCGGGCCCGTAGCTTTTCGCTCAAAACAGAATGCGTGTCCTGACATCCTGTTCTTCTCCCGACTTTTCATGTGCTCTCGTTTGCCTCGGTAGACTGTGACCCATTGGCTCTACCACGCAGCCAGGGCGCCAACCCGCACCAAGTTCATGGACACCAAGGTCGAGCCAACGAAGCCGAAAGCCTACGCCGCTCTATTGAACCCGAACAAACCCCACGAACTTGTCAAGTGGACGCACCACGCTGGACCCACCGACACAGCCATCGGGGGTGTCGTGTCGTCCAACGCGGCCGAGCAAAACATGGTTAAAGTAGGCCTGCAGGTAAGGGTTGATTGTTCGTAGGGATTGGACGGGTGTCCTAACAGCTGTTTTAGCGTTTGTTCGACCAACGTCCCAAGTGACGGCTGTCGAAATATGTCCTCGGCGAACGCAGTTAGAGACAACTTGATTCTTTCTACTCTTGGCGAGTCGAGCGTGCTTTAGTGTGGCCTCATCACCCCATCGTGTTGTGTAGTATTTTCAATTGGTGGCGAGCACGCGGACCGAATCTTTGACAGCGTGGTTGTTTCAAGAGGGACGTTGAGAAATGGTGAGGGCGAGTGATGTTGAGGAATGGTGAGGGCGAGAGACGTTGACGGGGCGGCGGACGTGGTACTAACTCTCCCTTAGGTCGACGGCGTGCCGACCTTTGTAGGTTATGGTAGGTCGACCTTCTCAAGACGCAGGGTGCGGCGGCTTTCGCCCTTCGTTTCAAAATGTCTTCACACATTAGTACTGCTCTCATTCACCATAAGAAGTGCGCACGGCTTGTACAGGCCACCAAGCAAGCACGACAGGGAAGACGTCGTGCTTGAGGACGTCAAGAATCGGAAATGATGTCAGCAGCCAAAACGAGTCAAGATATCTGCTCTCGTCACCAAGGTCCTAACAGCGTCGCCGTTACTTCATTCACAGGGGAGGAAGTTGCCGCCCTACATATGGCCCAGCACATCCTGGACAAGACCGCCTCCCGGATGGCAGAAAGGGCTGAACTCGTCAACAGCGCCTCGCAGAGGTTTACCCCTTTCGCCGCTAAGGAGTTCGAGGCTCAGCGCGCGAAGTCCAGCAAGTAAGCGGTACAGACCATCGCCTGCGTCTGGCGAGGAGACGGCTTGTGCTACCGTTCCCCACGAGGCATTTGGCTAAGCGTTTCGGGACAAAGTCAGTGTGCATCTAGACGTTTTAAGTGGCTTCATTGATATGTGTCCCGTAGAAGGCGGCGAGATGACACGTGCAATCGTTGTTTGACACATGTTTTTTGCCTTTTTGGCACCCCGGCGCCATCTCTTCGCCCCCGGTGCGTAAATTCCACAAAGGGCCTTCCACAAATCCATGATATCGCTGAGGTTTTTTGAGGCACCCCGGTGCGATGTCAAAGGCCGTTGCTATCTCCAGTAACATACCCATGAGGCCCTGTTGCGCACACACGCCAGCAGCAGTAGTTTCGGGTTGTATGCATATGTTGTGTGCTTGGGTGAGTATCCGGTTGGGAACTTCCATTCAATTCAAAAGCGAAAACAAATCCGTCAAGTTTTTCACCTTCGCTGACACGGTCCCCACATGTTCCACATGTAAGTTACCATATATACTTGTGCCTCTTCCCGGCAGCTCGAAAAGACGTCAATCCTGGGTTTGGAGTTAAGAGATTTATCCGAAGCCGGTGCAAAAATCTAATACAATCATACTGTTCTTGTTTCTTCACCTTCGTTTGGTTGTTGGCGTTGTTTGTTGTGGGTACCGGGTTACAGCCTCTCTGACCGTTGTCATCTCTCCGCCGATTTATGTTTTGTTANCTCGAAAAGACGTCAATCCTGGGTTTGGAGTTAGGAGATTTCTCCGACGCTGGTGCAAAAATCTAATACAATCATACTGTTCTTGTTTCTTCACCTTCGTTTGGTTGTTGGCGTTGTTTGTTGTGGGTACCGGGTTACAGCCTCTCTGACCGTTGTCATCTCTCCGCCGATTTATGTTTTGTTAACGTGTCTGCCTTCTACGGCAACTATACAACAACCTAATTTCGTCCTTTGCTGTCCATCCCACGACTCGCGCCCGTCTTCGTATCACAGCCTGCACTCCAGCGCCACCGGGAACGGCAACTTCACTGTTCGCAAACAAGGC